TTTTTTTTTTTTTTTTTTTTTTTAAAAAAAAAAAAAAAAAAAAAAAAAAAAAAATTGTTATATTAAGGGCACGGTAGCGCAGATATTATATACATTCAAAATTGTAATCAACGTGCTACCATATGTACAAAATGTCTAATTATAATAATCGAAAGGAAAAAAATTATAATAATAATAAATAAAAATTTTAAAAATAATACACAAGACAAAAGGTATCGCTGTCGAAAAAAAGGTTAAAGTACGCGTTATTAAGTATTGCCTTCCTGCCATATTTGGGGTATTCCAAGTATAAAAATTATAAGGTTTAGGGCTTACAAGTGACAAATTTATGACTGAGAAAATGTGTCCGCAAGTGACTTTCGAGAGAATGGAGTGCACATGTGCCGAGTGAATGAGCAGGGTGATTGCGAGCGTATGTAAGTATGACCAATTCCCCAAAAAATCTTCAGTGAGAAGTCGCAAAACTTTGAAAAAAGAAAAAAGCTGTTTGAGGCACATCTTTCGGATAAACATGTTTGTATCTTCGGGAAAATGAGAAACCCACGAGCACGCGATAAAACAGGAAATTACATGCTTTTAACCATTTAGAAACTAAAATTCAAAGAAATTATAAATTATTTCAAGTTTTTGTGTAACAATTTTTTTTTTTTTTTTTTTTTTTCGCCAAGCTTCAGTTTTTATTTCCAATGATCCGAAAACTGCGACTCACACATCTCGCAAAAACGCATTTTTTTCAAAATTAATTAGAGCTGAAATAACTTGGCGTGTGGATGAACGACGTTGGCTGTTATTAATTTCAATGTCCACGACATTTCACGCAACCACCTCGCAACGACGACCACGTTCGTGCATATAGGCTTTTTTTCCAAAGAAATCCTAATTGGCTGTGCCGAGACTATGCACGATTGCGAATACTTATGGATTTCGCGAAAAGTTGGCAAACAAAATGCACCGATAGCCCAACATTTTCCATCCCCAGTGACCCATTAATGGTTTCGAAAAACCCTCGGACAAAGGCTATCTATTGGTCCCAACGAGGGGGGAAGCCCCGCGTTGGCCCACGTGCTTCCTCCACCCCGCGGATTCGGCACGGCCGGCGCTGGTGGTGGTGGCGGCGAGGCCCCTCCCGCTGATATAAGCCGCTCGCTAGGCGCCGCCACACAGACAGTCACAGAGAGAGCCGAGGCGAGCGGGAGCCGGCGCGTGCGAGACTCTGCTCCTTGTGACCATTACCGAAAACATCTCTATTGTGCCGAATAATAAAACAAAAGTAATTGAAACGAAAATTAAAAAAAAAAAAAAAAAAAAAAAACAACAAAACGAGAACGACGACAACGAGCGCATGTATATATA